TTTCTTTCTTTCTTTCTTTCTTTCTTTCTCCTTCCTTCCTTCCTTTCATTCATTCTTTCTTTCCTTTTTGACAGAATTTCACTGTGTCACCCCAGGTACGGTGTCATGGTATAATTATAACTCACAGCAGCCTCAGACTCCTGGACTCAAGTATTTCTCTTGCTTCAGGCTCCCAAGTATCTGGGATTATAGGCACCACCTCATCCATCTAGTTTTTCTATTTTTAGTGAAGACAAGGTCTCAGTCTTGCTTAGGCTTGTCTCAAGCTCCTGAGGTCAAATGATTCTCCCAACTGGGCCTCCCAGAATGCTAGGATTAGGAGCATGAGCCACTGTGCCTGGCTTCCATCATTTTCTTAAAATTTTCTCCTAAATCCTGTTAATTCTCATTTTATTTTATTATGTTATCTGACAATTGCCTCTTCTTGACAGGATGTCAATTCTCTGCTTACTTGTGTTTCTGCCCTGGGATGTTCTCTCATGCCAAAATTACTTTAAGGATATTGTCTTTGAAAATCAAATTCAAACAGTGTGTCATGACTTAGTTCTGCTTTATGGCTACAATTTTGGGGTAAATTTATTTATTCTGCTAGGAAGTTGGTTTCTTATTTTTAGCTCTCTTTTATTTCTATAGTATTGTCTCAAGGAAACTGCATTTTCATACATTATTAAGACTTAATTTGCTTTTCTTGTTATTACTGGGAGGATTCCATGAGGCTGCAGGCACTGGGGAGGCTTTCCCGGTTTCTCAGTGTATGCTACTTTGTTAGGAAGTGTGTGCATTCCTACTATTTTCTCCACCTCCACTTTCTATCATCTCCTCACCACTGGCCTTGCCTTGGATGGTGAACCCTTCAGTTCAGAAAATGCTGCACTGTTAGCCCCACATCTGCTCCCCAGGCTGTTTCCACACCCTTTGCTACATTGACCTTTGATTACTTCCTGTCTCTGTGTCTATCTGAGTTGTGTACTGCAGTCCACAGTTACAGGAGGACCCTCTCCTTCTAGGGAAGATGTTTCCTGATATTTTTTGAGTGCTGATGCTGCCACCAATAACCTTGAATTTCATTTTTCTTCCTTGTAGAATCTCCAAACGTTGGTTTTCTGCACCAATTCTGATGAGTTCCAGTGTCTTCTTTCTTCCTTGCATCTGATCTGCAGTTGGTGGTTTCTTTCTTCTGATTTTATTGAAATTACCCCTTGTATGTTCTTTTATTATTCATTGTTTTGAATGTTAAGTATACATATTAAGGATAAAAATAGAAAGATTAGGATTAGCAGAATTGCTAAAGGCTTACCCTAGAACACTCAACGTTAAAAAAAAAATTCAAAATATTAACCCCTGAACATGCCCATCACCAGTGCAGTGTCACTATACCCAGCAGGAAAATTTTCATTCTTCACTTCCCCCCCACCCTCCCCTTTTTAGTCTCCAACATTCTTTACACCTACTGGAGTCTGTGTGCACCTGTGTTTACCTCCCACTTAGTAAGGGCATGTGCTGTTTGCTTTTCCATTCCTGAGACACTTAGGGATAATGGTCTCTAGTTCCATTCAAGTTGCTATGTTAACCAGTTTGAAGCATTCCAAATTGTATATAAAATCAGCACATTGTACCCCATAAATGCATTAATGTACAGTTATGATTTAATAAAAAAATTAAGAGAAAGAAAAAAGACTCATTTCCTTCCTTTTTATGGCTAAGTATTCTGTGGTATATACACCACATTTTATTTACCCACTTGTGAATCAGTTCCGTATATACAGCTTATGCACTACTAGTGGGACTGCGAACAAGCACAACCCCTATGGAAAACAGTATAGACATTGCCCAAAGAGCTAAAAGTAGAGCCACCATTAGATCCAGCGATCCCATTTACTGGGATTTTCCCAAAGGAAAAGAAATCATTTTATCAAAAAGACACTTGTGCTCAAATGCTTATTGCAGCACAAATCTCTTTTTCTATATTTGAAAAATTGTGATTATGTTTGCCTCTGTGAGTAACCAGATGAGTAACCAGATGAGTAATGAAAGGTTACAGTGATCCTCAGCAGGCTCTCACAGAGTTCCTGGCCAAAAATAATGCCAACTAAGAGAAGGTAGTGGTGGGGAGGGACGAGGATATGCTGGTACATACACACAGACACACATACACAGACACACACATGCACACATGTATGTATGTAAATCATAGGAAATCACACTATTTTCTCAGTACATTATTAGTTGCTGGCATATCTGTTATGTAGGCTTTGAGTTCTAACTGTGCTCCATTCTTGACTTTCCTTATTAGCAACACTAGTAATGAATACTGCAGGGGAAAAAAAAGTGTTTTGAGGACCAAATGACTTTTTTCTTTCCCCTAAGTAATCCACAAAGACTGTTTTATGTAATTCCTTGATCAAGCAGGGAGTTTGTATTTTGTCTCTACACTGCCTTAAAGAAAATTTTAAATATGTACTTGCAGAAATAAGACAGTATCTCTTGAAATTAAATGGTGATGTGTGTGTGTTTAAACGCATCATAAGCTATAAGGAATCCATCATAATTTGAGTATAAGATGCCTATAAATTTAATATTTAACTCTCTCAATTCTTGCTACTGAAAAAACACAGAATCAAAACATCTGATTTGGGGCAGTGCCTGTGGCCCAAGGAGTAGGGCACTGGCCCCATATACTGGAGGTGGCGGGTTCAAACCCAGCCCTGGCCAAAATCTGCAAAAAAAAAAAAAAAAAAAAAAAAAAATCTGGTTTTATATTTTCTGTTTTTAAATGTTTTTACTTAAAAAAATTTTATTTGTACAAATTTGTGGGATGTATGTGCAATTTTGTTACTTGCATAAAATGCACAGCAGACAGGTCAGGGCTTTTAGGGGATCTGTCACCCAAGTTACATAATATCTATTAAGCAATTTCTCACCTTCCTATGTGAGTCCTGAGTTAGCACAGGCTGCACTGATGTTTCATGCCCTGTCTCAGCTTGGGGAATTTGCGTTTTCTCTATGGACAGCCACACGCAGCAAATCATATGTAGCTGACACCAATTTGCTGACTGTGTGCAATTTGTCTTTGCCTTCTGTTTTACCTGTTTTTCTCATTAATTTTGACTTGCCTTCTAATGTAATTTCCCTTGCACAAATACTACAGATATGCTATGATATGGGCAGGTTTCATTTCTACTCATTTGACAACTTATTTTGACTTAGGATTAGCCAATATTACTTTGATAATAGCTTTAGAACGTTGGTCAAGATTTATAAAAATTTAAAATAAAATATTTGTATAGAAAAGAACACTAGGTCAGTTGCTTTACTGATAAATAGATCATTATGGCATATAAATATATTAATGTCAAAATGAGCAAAGTACAAAAATAGGCAAAGAAAGAATGAATAAATATAAATAAAACTAATATTGATGCAATTATTTTGTCATTTGAATGAGATCTGGTTAAATGAAAATAGAAGGGGGTGGCATTTTCTGCCCATGGATGTGTGCAACAGAGCCAAGAGGATAGATGAGGAAGATGATCACACAACTGTGGGTTACCAATGTTTATCTTGTTACTTTCTTTCCCCCAAATATTAATCATTTTAGGAACCAAATCTTCAGGAAAATGGAGGAAACCAGCAACAACAGCTCTGAGAAGGGATTTCTTCTTCTAGGATTTTCAGACCAGCCCCAGCTGGAGAGGTTCCTTTTTGTCATCATATTGCACTTTTACATCTTAAACCTTTTGGGAAACACTTCTATCATATTGGTATCTTATCTGGACCCCAAACTCCATACGCCGATGTATTTCTTCCTGAGCAACCTCTCCTGTGTGGACATCTGCTTCACCACCAGTGTTGCCCCACAGCTGCTGGTCACCATGAATAAGAAAGATAAGACCATGAGCTATGGTGGATGTGTGGCCCAGCTATATGTGGCCATGGGCTTAGGCTCATGTGAGTGCATTCTTCTGGCAGTCATGGCTTATGACCGCTATGCTGCTGTCTGCTGGCCACTGCACTACACAACCATCATGCACCCTAGGCTCTGTGCATCTCTGGCCAGTATGGCATGGTTCAGTGGCCTTGTTACCTCCCTAATTCAGTGCTCCCTTACTGTGCAGCTGCCCCTTTGTGGTCATCGCAAACTGGACCACATTTTCTGTGAGGTGCCAGTGCTCATTAAACTGGCCTGTGTGGACACAACTTTCAACGAAGCAGAACTCTTTGTGGCCAGTGTAGTCTTTCTCATTGTCCCTGTGTCACTCATTTTGGTCTCCTATGGCCTTATAACCCAAGCTGTGCTGAGGATCAAATCAGCTGCAGGGCGCCAGAAAGTTTTTGGGACCTGCTCCTCTCACCTGGTTGTTGTCATCATTTTCTATGGGACTATTATCTTCATGTACCTTCAGCCAGCCAAAAGTAGCTCCAAAAATCAGGGAAAGTTTGTTTCTCTTTTCTACACCATAGTTACCCCACTTTTAAATCCCATCATCTACACACTGAGAAACAAAGATGTAAAAGGGGCCTTGAGGGTGCTGATTACAGGAAAAGCTCTTGGGCCACAACCAAGGGATTACTGAAAGTCCTGGAACTCTATAAGACGCTAAACATCTCAAGGCACAAGGACATTTAATTCTTCCCAAACCCCTTCTCACAAATCCCACAGTTCTATGCTCTATCTACAGAAATCCTTTGTTCTTCTCCCATCATGCAATTAATGTTCCTGTATTCGTTACCTCTGTTTAGCATACTGGTCTGCCTGGTGAACTCCTTATTTTTAACATGTCAGCTGAAATTTTGCCTGCACTGCACATTCCAGGTGTATTGAAACACCATCCTTCTCACCCTCTGTGGAACATTATTTGTCTCATAATACATGTTCTCACAGTACACCATACATACTGCTATTTCAACATTTCACATTCACTATACATATATATGAATAGGCAAAGCATTTTACATATAATTGGCTGTGAAAAATACATGATTGTTTTCCCATAATATGTCAGTTGTAACCTGAGAATTGACCCATTTTACTATTTTAGATTATTTACAATATGAGAAACACCAAGATAATTCAGAGTTGTGATACCTTGGTTCCGTAGACTTGTGAAATACAAGTAATGACCATAATATTTTACAAAAGGAATCGATAAGCAAGCTTGCACATTGATTCATGTATTATTTAGATAATTTCTTCTTTTTATTGAGGTGTTTAAATGTTGAAAGTGCCATATACTAAAATGTGTTTAACATATTTGTAGATAATTCACAAGATCTGCCATAAAGTAATTACTTCTGGTTTTGACCTATGAAGACGAATTCCCTATGTAATTTCATATCTTAAAATATGAAATATTAAGCTCATATGCAATCTCATGTTAATGATCATAGTTATCTATTTCATTTCCAAAATAGGAAAATAACTATATTCTTAAATTTGACCAAACTCTTTATTCTTGATTCATTTCTCTCTCTTGATCTTTCTGTCTCAGTCTCCATCTCTCTCCCTCTCCCAAGAAGGACACAACTTCATCAATTTGTCAGTGTCAAGTACTTTAGATCTGTGTAGTTACAAAAAAAATAAAAGTGATTCAGTCTGCAATCTCAATTTTACTTCATCTTCTTAGGATACTCATAATAATAATAAAAAAAAAGCATAGAAAGGAAGAGTAAAATGCAGAGTCCGAGAAGTATGGATTTCGATTGATTTGGACTTCTGACAAAAAGTAAAACTGATGTTAATCCATAATTTATATTTGTGTGATTGTATTTTAGTCTGCCTACAAATGTTAAGCATAAAGTTTGGATTTGTCTCTACTGCCAAATTGAAGACAAAATGTCTATACATACAAGAAAAAAAGCATAAGGATAATTTACTGAATGATTCAAGAATGCCCCTCCAAATATATCATGTTCAATTTATAACTCTTAAACATGTTTTTTGGCAAATAAAGTAATAAATATGAAACTTAACAGAAAGAAGAGGGATATAAGGCTGGTTAAATTTGTCTTCTAAAATACTGTCATGTAAATTCCCCTCCTTCAGTAATGGGAAGCATTGAGAATTGCAATATTTATAAATGCTTCATTTTGTTATAAACAAAAAATATGCCATAGAAAAGAACGCACCTATGTCAGCATCTAAATCAATATAAATGGCATATGCTCTCCAGGAGTGAAGTAATGATATTAACACAATATGTAGAAAAACTACTATAAAAGAGGTAACAATTCAAAAAACAAAAATCAAAGTAATTTGGGCAGCACTTGTGGCTCAAAGGAATAGGACATTGGCCCCATATGCTGGATGTGGTAGGTTCAAACCCAGTCGCGGCCAAAAACTGCCAAAAAAAAAAAAATCAAACTAAGGTAATGTGGAGTAGAATCCTCATTAAAAAATTAAACTATTACCAGGCATAACAAATTATATGAAAACATAATTTAGAATAAAAGTATAGATAGAATAAATAAAGATGCTCATTTTGGCAATAAAGAGATCATAGTTATTTTCT